GCCAAGGCACGAGTGACCCGACGTTACAAGCGAAGGGTTAACAATTTTAAAATTTCTCTTGAACAACTTTAAAACATTACAATATATTATCTCTAATCTAAATAATAAGATATCACGATACCCACTATATATTTTGTTTTGAATACTTATTTTGCTAATTATTGATACTTTAATTACGTTTTGATAAATTCAAAATATTCCAATTACTTTAAAATATATATATCTCTATCTATAATAAACTTATCTCATTTTTAATTAATCATTTCTTCTTAATATATTTTATATTTTTTGAACACGTCAGGTAGTTTCGCCATATTTGGTCTTAATGACGCTAGCCAATCAGTACAAAGCTAAGGATGACCAGACTTTTGATGCAGAAGTAGCGCATCTACAAACGCACAATCCTTTGTTGTCAAACTTTGATGTAAACTGTACACATAACCTTTCGGCATAACCGTTAAACCGTTTCTTCGTTGTATTTCTGTTCTATTTTGTAACAGAAGTGAAAATAGATATTTAATGTTGAATATAAAAGTTATTAACAAGTATGGCCGGTTTGCATTTAATACAGACATACTCTTCCGACTCAGACGAAGACCAGCATGATGAGAAGGGAAAAGATGATCATAAAATTGTAAACAAGTACATGAATTACATTACTTATTCTGGATTACAATATTTAATAACCGTTACTTTTTTCTGAAAGCTCTTTTTTTTCACGACAAAAAACAATGCTTGGAATAATCATGAAAGTTCTACAATTCTTAAATTTGAGTTTGGTGAGGTTAAAGCACTTTGTTTACATGTATTTAATGATAACAGACCTTTCTTTTAGCTGATCTTCTTGCACAATTCATCTTTCCTCTTTTTCTTTTCAACAAAGAAATTTAGCTAAAAGAACAGGCCTAATATGCTTTGTTGATATAATTATTAACAGACAATTTAAAATTGATTATGTAGAATATGTAAAAGTTACGCTTTCTTTAAATATTGATACATATGCAAGAACGAAAAATAATATTGCATACATATATATTTTTGGTTAAATGTTTTGGATAAATTTGCAGGCTAGTCTTACCTGAAAGTATTTTATCATGGAAAGGAGTTACGTATAATGAAGAAGTGGTCGATGATCCACTGGATCACGACGGACGGACACGAAGCTTTAAACATGAGCGTGGTAATTGGGCAACTCTGATTTACATAAACTGTAAGCATTTCGATTTCACACACAAGATATCGTTATTAATTTGCATTCTGTATTAAGTAGCAGAGATCAAGAAGTCTTTGCTTAATATTAAATAATCAATATCAGGATTAATAAAAAGATCAAATTGATTTCAGATACACCCAGTGATTGTCTCGACACTTGGATGAACTCTGTGTTAGATAAACTGCCTGTCCAAGGCAATGTCATATCTAGTCCACATATTAGTCTCAGCCGTACATTGATTTTAAAGTTCCATTGGATTGAATCGTTCGTCGAAGGCATGAAGCTGTTGTGTCGTAGATCTAATAAATTTGCCATTCAACTCACGGACGTAAGAGTATACTGCAATGAAGAGAAAACTCGCACATTCCTCGGAATTTATTGTCAGGATGAAAATGGAATGTTGAAGTGCCTAACTGAAGCTCTTGACAATTTATTAGCTGGATATCAGTTGCCGTCGTTTTATAAGGTACTTTCGTTATGAAATGCATCACATATGTTATGAAATAGGTAACAGATTTTATAATTTGCATTTGTAAAAGATTCTTCAGTCGTTGCATGATCACTTCAGAAATATGAAATATATGAATCATGACTTAATATGATCACAATAAAAGATCAGGACACATAAGTATAATATATATATTTCTTATATACAGGATACTTCATATCACATTAGTTTCTTCTGGTGCCTTGGAGACAAGCGAGCTTATTTAAAAGAAATTCTGCCGTCTCTCACTAGCAGTTTAAATGATTTTCTAGTAGAAAATATGGAAGACGCTTACGTGCATGTCAATGAGATACAATGCAAAATTGGAAATAAATGTTATAACTTTGAACTAAAATAACAAATTGTATAAACTCGGCTATAAAATCTATCTTGGGAAATTGTACAGCGTTTATTATCACAAAGTAAAACTGTCAATTGCTTCTCTCAATTGATTGAACCTATCAATTTTTTACAGAGCTTTAAAAAAATCGTAAAGAAACTTATTTAATAACTTACAAATTGTAATAGTATTGCTCTTATGAATATCGTATTGTGATATAAATTATTTTGGTTTAAAAGCAAATCTACACGTTTGTAGGATATATATATATTTTTTAATAAATTATTTCTCGCATATAACTATTATACATATATACAAAATATTATTTTCCATAGAAAATTATATTGGTTTAAAAATCGCCAAGTTGTGAGGCAATTTCGTTACAATACCTGCACGTCGCCACAATTTAATCCACGAATCACAAAAATTAGGCTCTATGCTAGCCAGTAACGTACAAACTTCAGGATTTTGTATGACCAATCCAGCCTCTGGATTACTCGCGATAGTTTTACAGCCACTAACATCGATGTAATTTAACGTGGGCTGACGACTCAACAACGCGTTTATTGACAATACAGATACATTTATGTTCCCACTAAGTATTAATTTTAACAGTCTAGGTAATTGTCTTAGGATGATCTTTACGTCAGAGTCCGTTACATCGCAGAACGAAAGATCTAGCGATTCTAAGCTCTGTGACAGAGCTACGTTGTCTAAACTTAGGATAAAGCGATTGGAAGACAGAATATTAGATAAATTCAAATCAAACAGTTGCCTGCTCAGGAAAGAAGTCGCTGCGTCGCGATTTAATTCATTCCACGAGATATCGCAGCTCGTCAGATTGGGATTGTCGAGCGGAAGATAAAAATCCTCCAGCATACAGTAACGTAAGTTAAGGGTTTGCAGGTATCTCAAGGGTGCAATTAGCTTTCGGAGGATGCCATGGCTCTCGGACCTCAACGGATTATAACTCAGATCTAGAACTCTTAACTGTGAAGGCAACGAGCTTACTTGGCGTAAACAGGCGAAGTCAATGTCACAGCCTTTTAAATAGAGCTCCTGCAGAGACGACAGATTCGAGAGACATCGATGTAAGTGTGTTCCCGCTGTCAGTAGCACAGTGCCAGACAGTTGTAACAGCTTGATATTCTTTTCGTACTCTAAGGTTTTTAACAACGGTACAAGTAATTGTTTATCGATATCGTCAGGTTTCACACGAAATACCGATGTATTTTCGCAGGATTTCAAGCACTTCAACATGACCTCGCAAGGGGCCGAATTATGAGTGGAACAGATGGTCTTGTATCGCTCGACGATGGGTGGGACCTGCAGCTCGGCTATCTCGCATTCCAATTTGCCGTTCTCTCTCGCGATTTTCAGAATGCTCTCCTTCGTTACGACAGTCCCATTTGTGGGCTGCAACAGCAGTTTAACTGTACAACCGGTCTCGTCGTAGAACATGCGTTCGGTAGTACTTTTGATGCATGTCAGAAACTCCGTCTCGTCCTCGCAAACCACTACTTTTAGATCGAACACTCTTTCTTTGACAGACATACGTAAATGTACGTGTTCTTTGTCATGCTGTTTCGAGCTTGTTGTGGTACGCGGAGGTGATTGCGGATGAGCCACTGGGGATGGCGTGCGTGACACGGTGAATCCACTTGAGATCAAGGACGTCTGTCGTTTTCTCCTGCTTCTTTTAGATTTTTCGAATGATTGACAAATTTCAACGACAGAATCATCGTCGCTGTCTTCGCTCGTACTGAAATCGTCCTTACTTTGACACGAACCGTTCAGTTTCATTCTTTTAGCAGCGTTCTCCATATTTCCGTCAGAAGACTTCCGTTTGATCGTGGTGGTGTAATTGTTTGGCGTAGACTTTGGCGTAGACTTTCTTCTCGTCGTACCTCCGATATCGTCTTCAAGCCAATCGTCGACAAGAACTTGTTCCTCGTTCACTAAAGGCGCGACCGCATCGTTGCTACCTTTAAACGCACTACCAGTGTTAATTTTATTGAAGCATCGCAAGCTCGCTATTGTTCTCTTATAAACTTCACCGGCGGATATTTCTCGAACCTCGAGTGTCTCGGACGACGCGGACCTTCTGTCCAGTATACGAACGTCGTCGGATCTCTTCCTTTTCTTCTTTACCGGAATAACAGCCGAAAGCTTTTTATACATCGTTTCGTACTCGACTAAATCCTCGGGACTTAAATCTTTCACGCGATCCCTCCAATCTTCCAGGCAATCCAGCACCGTATCGCCGTCGTGGGTCTTAAGCGTTACGGTCGCTCCGTGTTGCATCAAGAGCTGCATCATCGAGAAGTGTCCGCAATACGCGGCGTCGTGAAGCGGCGTTATGCCTTTGCAGGACGTACCGCCTGGATCGTTGACGCTCGCGCCGTGCTTCAGAAGCAGCTCCGCGATGTCCACGTAACCGTGATTAGCCGCCTCGTGAAGCGGTGTCCAACCGCAGTGATCTCGGATGTTCGTGGGATGACCGGACGACAAGAGCCTCTCGACGACATCGATGTCGCCGTTGATGCACGCCACGTGCAGCCGCGTTTCACCCTTCTCGTTCCTCTTGATCGCGGACGACGTTCCTCTCTTCGATCTTCTCCTGGTGCCGACCGTCCTCTTGGCGCTCTCCTCGAGTTCCAGATCAGACAGATCCTCTAGACAAATATCCGCGCCAATTCTATCGTTTTCCTCGGACGATATCTCGCTCTCCGTATCGCTCAGTACGTCCAATGTTAATCCCGCTTTCCGTTTTGTAGCCTCTGCCTCGTCGAATTGGCCTAGGCTTTCCAGATAACTGACGAGTTCTCTTATAGCAGACTTTTGTAGTTTAACATCATCGCTTTCGTTCGCCGAGCTCAATGCCGTAGTGTAACATTCGCGAACATCTGTGTCAGCGGCATTCGTCGTTGTTAATAAATCTGCTAGAAACAGCGCCGACCTGCATTTCTCTCGAGGACTGGTGCAGAGCTCCAGTTCCCTCCGCGCGAAGGGCAACGCTTCTTCGTATCGTCCCGCATCTTTGAGCGTTTGAGCCAAGCTCATCAAAGAGATACCTATTTGTTCGCCCGTTTCCTCCGCGCAGGTCAACATGTGTCGATAATATTCCACACCTTTGCCGAAGCATTGCGCGGCAACCGCCGCATCACCTAAAGTCTCGTACAATTTCTGCTTAGCCTGGACATCCGTCTCGACAAGAAGACCGTTTTCCGCACGGCATATAGTTACAATAATCCTTAAATATCTTTCTACCTGATGATTAATGTCTTTCGGCAATCCGCTGCTCGTATATAGCGAAACTAAAACTTTACGCGTTTCAATCCACTGTCCAGTTCGCATGAACAATTCGGCCTTTATTATTTTCGCTTCGGCTCTCAGACGTGCGTCGTTTACGGTGGCTGCGGTGTCGATGTAACTTAACGCCAGCTCCAAATTGCTCTGTCGCTCGTATATAGCCGCCAGAGAAATACACGTTCGATGCAGATCTTCCTGGAAGTTGTTGGACACGCACAACGCGGTCGCTTGCTCGATCAGGCTGATCGCCTCCTGCGTCTCTTTCTGCGCTTCCAGCGTTAATCCTAAATTGAGCAGCAGCCTCGCTCGCATCAACGTTCTCTCTTCCAGCTTGATTTCGGTGGCTGTTAATTTGTCGCACAGCTCCATACTCCGTACATAAGCCATCTTCGCGTTTGCCAAAGCCTCGTTATGCTTCTGCGTCTTGCCGATTAAAGTTTCCGCCTGACAGAAGTAAGTTCTGCCCAAGGTGGCGAATGCCCGCTGCTCCTCTATCAAGTTTCCCATGTCCTTGGCGCCTTCCAAGTGTAGATTCTGGTGTATCAAAGCCTGTTCGTAATCTCCCAAACTCGCGTAAACCTCTCCGATCATTCTGTGGGCAATCGCACATCTCAGCTTGTCTCGCAGTTCCTCGCAGACCCTCAGCTGCTCCGTGTACTCCAGCAGAGCTTCCTCCGGCCGTTCGTTCTCGAAGTACATGTCCCCCAGGGTATTCGTGATCTCGGCCAACTGGCGAAGATTGTTGTCGCGTTTGGCATGCTGCTTCTTCTTAATGAGCTTATCGATGTTCATTTCGACAATTTTTTCTTAGGTACATATAAAACGTCTTATTTTCCTCAAAGCCCTACAAAATATAGGACAGTTAATTTAATTGAAAAAAAAAAAAAAAATATCTGACGAGCATTTGAGATATCGTCACCTGTAGCTACGATGAAGATGTACGTACTTATCCTTTTGGTACGCAGAAAGATCTCAAAAGTAAATTAATCGCTCGATATTGCAGGGAGTATAATAAATCTTTTACGAATAACAAACTATTTTTGCGAATAAGAAATATATTTCAGAGGTTTTCTACAAAGCTGCCGAATCTGTCATGCCGAGATATCGCCTCGTGATGTTTTGGCGCCATTTTGAGCGTTCCAAAACCCATCGGATTTGATCGAGACCTCTCTCGGAAAACAATCGACTTGCCACGCGAGAAACTTCTGCGCTAGGAGAGGCTGGAACATAAACGAATATAACCAATAAACTTGCGCATTGGCGGCAGCGGTTAAAAATGACTGCGTTTACACGGCCCGATTTATTTTTCGGGATCAATATTTGACATTTCTTTGATTAAATTTATTACTTGCTCCTTGTTCATCGTCTTCTCTCTTCAATAACCATTTTTCGCCGAGCCAGAAATCTTCGTTTCCTTTGTTTTTTCTCTTTCCTTTCTTTCTCCTTAAATTCTAATAATAAGTAAAGTAAAAAAGCTTTAAGTAATTGTCGACGACGCAATTCCTTATGCCAGCCTAACTGCGGAGTTCTTTGCCATTGTTTAACTTTTAAAATTATTAAACATAATAGCATTTCCAGTTTTTTCATGTTAACTTCCTCTGGAATAAATAAAAATATTTATTAAAAGATTTATTAATCTGAATAAAATATTTATGTTACAATGCAAAGTGTAATATAATCTTATCATGTTTTCATATAAATATTTAGTACAATTTTATATTTTCACAAAAAATTAAAACAACAAAATTACACTAAAATAATATTTCTTTTGCTCAATTTATATTATCCTTTTATTTCCTTTATTTCGTTCCACTTTACTGAACAAACAGAGATAATTCTAACCTAAGTTTTGCAATAATTTTGAGTTATATCTTTGTTTTTCCGCAAAATATACTTCATGGAATTGTGTCCCATTTATTAGAGATAGATATTTTCTTATAATATTAATTATTCCTATAAACTATAATTAGCAAAATATAATTTTTAATATTTACGTATTTCCGTTTTTCCCGATAGAAGAAGAAACGATCGAAGAAGTCGAAGAAACAAATCGTGTCTCTTGTCAATCTCCGTTTCAATTGTTTCAAACGGTGCCGATGACAGAGCCATCTGTAGTGCACGAGTTTCGTGCTTTAGGGAAGTGTCTGTTGTAAACCTTGGTTGTAAACAACACGCTGCAAGACTGCACACGCATGCACGGGAGTATGAAGATTAATTAACGTGTAGTTTGAGTTGGATTTATGAGACAAAGTTTCCCTCGAAAACGAATCGTTTCTTCGCGATTTGATCGATTTCCCTGTATCTAGCCTTAAACTTGGCGAAGTCACGGGTCGACGAGGAGAAGGGCGAGAGTTTGCCAAGTTTCGCGCGTTGAAACTTCCAGGCGATATCGTGGCAAGGTAAATATTTTCAGAGTATAATGAAACGAACGTCTCACCGGACAATCAGTGCCAGATTTTTTTAAATCGAGGATGAAGTTACCACAGATATCAGGATCAGAGTATCCGTCCAACTTTTCGCTTAAATAGGTTTTTTTTTCTATGACAATTGTATTTTGTGTCTCGTACGAAAGGTAGAAATCTCTTGTTAATTAATAATTGATTATGATTTCAGGTTGAAACTCATCGCTGATTAAAATAGATTAGCGATTGTTTCACGAAGATGCGAGCATAACCTCAAGGATCCCGTCTCTTTTGTACTTCCAATATAAGATTCGTCCGTAAACGGTGTCAGTCGTGCGTATATTTCCTAAGGATTAAAAATGGATCAGATGCTTCCGAGTCCTGGCTTCAGCATACCAAGCATTGGTACACCTCTGCATCAACCAGAGGAGGATCAACAGATCCTGCCGAATGCTCTGCAGCAGCAGCAACAGTCGCAGCAGTTCCAGCTGCAGCAACTGCATTCGATGAGTCCCAATATGCAAAGCGGTATGCTGATGATAACGACGCCGCAAAAGAACATGCACACGTATGCTCCAACTCCAGCGTTTGCGACGCCACAGAGTCTTATGCAGCCACAAACGCCGGTAATTCAAAATTGAATTTACTTATGCTAGAACTTGAGACTCAAGATATTATTAGTATAAATTCTGAATGTCGTTTACACAATTAAAAAAGTTGAGCATTAAAGAGAGCTTGGGAACATATAACTGAAAAAGATACAATTAAGAGATATAGCGTTCTAAATATATTATATTGTATTTATTTCATTGTTTTAATATTACTTTTTTCTTGTATTCTTCAGCAAAATATGATGTCTCCGATAGTACCACAAAATAATCAAATAGCACCGCCATCGATAGGTCCTGCGACCCCAGGGCCAATGACACCAATGACCCCAGCTTCCGCCGACCCTGGAATATTGCCACAGTTGCAGTAAGTTTGTAAAGAAATTCGATATAATATCACGTGCGCCTCCCATTCATAATTTTTGCTTTATTTTAGGAATATCGTGTCTACCGTTAATTTAAATTGCAAGCTTGACCTGAAGAAAATAGCGCTTCATGCTAGAAACGCTGAGTATAATCCAAAAAGGTTTGCGGCTGTTATCATGCGAATAAGAGAACCAAGAACCACCGCGCTGATATTCAGTAGCGGCAAAATGGTGTGTACCGGTGCCAAGAGTGAAGGAGATTCACGTCTTGCTGCGAGAAAGTACGCAAGGATTATCCAGAAGTTAGGTTTTCCTGTAAGTATCGTCTCAATCCGCCTCTCATTAAAATACAAAATAATTTATTTTTCGCAATGCAGTTTTCTTTTAAATGTAGTACTGTTTATCGATAAGATATTTAATAATGATATAAATCTGTTGTTCTTCATTTATTGATATTACGATTTGATTTAATTTAATTTAGGCCAAGTTCCTAGATTTTAAAATCCAAAATATGGTCGGCAGCTGTGATGTTAAGTTTCCAATTAGATTAGAGGGTTTAGTGCTTTCTCACGGACAATTTTCATCGTACGAACCAGAACTATTTCCAGGTCTAATATATAGGATGGTCAAACCTCGAATTGTACTGCTCATATTCGTCTCAGGGAAAGTAGTATTGACAGGTGAGTGTGCTCTGTTATACATTTTATAGTAGTACGTGTGCAAAACATTTCCGGAATATAGTACAGAGTCCTGATTTTTTACAATTTGCAAACTTAAAAATCCAGATCTGCATAAAAGATTGAACATTTGATTACACGTTTGTGCTCGAATACTTATTACATATTTATATATGTCGTCAGGTGCCAAGGTACGCAAGGAAATTTATGAAGCCTTTGACAACATCTATCCAATACTGAAGAGCTTTAAAAAGCAGTGATTCTACGTAGTCTTTTTTTATAATTTAATAATTTGTTTCCAACCAAATTTATTTCTAATAGAGTATATTTTGTAATATAAAATCACATGGATGAGCAAACCATTACGTTTAATACTGTCGTTGAGTTGCATAGTGTTGTTGATCATCTCTTTGATTATTCAATGTACAAAATGTCTCACAATGATTGGATATTCCTACCACAGATCTGTTCAAGTCTACACGAAATCGATTTTCAATTAAACTTGATACATATTATTTTTTTTTTTTAATGAGCATAAATAGATATTTTTGTTAACCAAACTTCGAGAGAAAAGATAGATGAAAAAATATTCCGTCCTTCATTTACGTTTTCTTGACTTTACTTCAAAATATATTTTTTTACATGAATCTTAGTTACAAATATGAATGAATGTTAGAGATTAAGAATATATAGATTATTATATATATTGAAATAAATTTTTCAATATTAAAGAGAGATTGTCTTCAAATTGACTAAAGAAACTGTGTTTAAAAGAATATCCAGTGATTTCAGGACATAATGCATAAACCAATTGTCTCGTAGATTAAATATGATTTATAAAATGTCTGTTTTCGTCTCTTTATAGAAAATATTAATTTTTTCGATGTGTAAAAAGCAAACAGTGCGAAGGTACAACTTGTGCAATCTTGCAATGGTTTTGTTTCCATTTGCTAAACCAGTCAATTGATTAGTTGATGACAACAGAAATTCTAAAAGTACATATATAAATTAAATGTAACCAGAAGTTTCTGAACCTTCCCTTTTTGCCTTCCTTAAAGATAATGCATGTAATAATGCATATAATTCTGTAATTTATAAAATAGTGTCTTCTAGTGATGCAGTGCCTCGATTAAGATTACGCGAGTAATCAATGTGTATGCTTTATCACAATTTTAACTCTTAACAGATACTATGAATTTTCTTAAACAACATCACTAAAAATATCACCATAATTGTGTAACAGAAAAAAATCTGAAAAATGGAATGAGACTTATTGATTGTATAGTTCGTAATGTGATTATAATATATGATTCATAACTTATAATCAATAAATCTTTTAATTTGAATTTCAATGTAATACAGGATCGTGCGTATTATAAATAGGTACTTTTAAAGAAAATTTATAGTACCTGTTGAGAGTTAATTATTATCATGCATGTACTTGGAAAATTTATTGTACACCATCGAATAATTTTCTACTGTTTAAATGCCTGGTTAAATGTTTATTAAAATTAATATACAAGTATTTCCTTTTTTTTAAACAACGCATTATACTCAATATATACCTCTCTAATGTTTTCTCACCAAAATCATTTATTTTTCCATAAAAGTTATTCGTTCTATCGAATAGTTATTAAAATATAAATAATTTACTTGTGTAGTAGAATTACACAACAAGGGCTCATCGAATTAAAATTTCCAATTTTTGACAAAGATATTTGGAAAAAAGTAACATTTTTTGCTACTTTTAAATACTTACAGAACATATTTAACTTACTAGAGGCTTAATATTTTTGTAAATCCATTTTGAATGGGGTTCCAATGTATATATAAGAAAAAAAAACTCACTCAATTAGTTTTTCAAATACATAAGCTAGAATTTGTATGATCATTAGTATTATATTTAAAGATATTATTTGTTGCACATAGCATATGTTTCATAGTAATAAAATTATATACAATAAAAATACTTATTCTTGTTCTTTGATAGACACAATAAAATGTTCGATAGAAAATCTAAAAATATATCTAATAAATAAGTGAATTACTATCTATTTTATATGTACAATACACTTAATTATTGTAGAAATAATAAGTACCAGTCCCGCAAAAATAATTACGTACACATGATTGTAATAAATGACCCAAATCACGAAAAAGTGACAGTTTATAATTTTGATTTTAATCTATCTCGCAATAATCGACGTAATATTTTACCAGATGGAGTTTTTGGAATGCTATCTATAAATCTTACACCGCCTCTAAGTCGCTTAGGATTTGATACACGGTCTGGAACAAAAACATAAGTACATATAGAATAATATATGTATACATATAAATATATATTCATATGAATATATAAAAAATAACAGACACAAAATAGATATTATAATACTGCATACAAAAAGGTATGAAGACATTCGATGTGAAGAAATTACAAAGTAGAGGGCTTTCAATTTAGCATAACAAAAGGAAAGCTTAAAAAACTAAAGTTTTCTGATTTAATGCTATGACATTTTAATTTTTTCTTTAGTCTCAAGAATTTTAAGAAACAAACAAAAAATTTCAAATTCTAATAATGTTATTACATTAGTTCTATTATAGACGATACACAATGATACCGAACATTCTTACCATTAACATACTGGATTATATCTTTTTCGGAAACGTTGGAATTAGCCTCCTTTACAACGAAGGCCATTGGTAACTCCCCAGTTTTGTCATTTGGTATGCCAATTACTGCCGCGTCTTGTATACTAGGATAAGTTAACAAAATCGCTTCGAGTTCGGCTGGCGGTACCTGATAGCCTTTATATTTGATGAGTTCCTTTATACGGTCAACGATGTAAAAGTAACCATCTTCGTCATAGTATCCTACATCCCCCGTATGCAACCAACCATCCTTATCAATTGTCGCTCTAGTGGATTTTTCATCGTTATAATAGCCTTTCATTATCAAATCTCCTTTGAAGCATAATTCTCCTGTGCAATTTGGCCCTAAAGCTTTATCCGTCTCGTATTCTCCAATTGGTATTACCTTCGCTGAAAGAATATCAGAGCTACATATTGCTAAAATTTGCACATTCTATTAGCTATATCGATAGAAAAATGCAAAAATGTATAATAGTGGATATTAATTAATTGCGCTTTAAGATGGACACTACGTTTTCGTAATCAAGAGATTGCTACCTGATGTGCCTGGAACTAACACGCCAACGCTACCTGGTTTTGCATTGTCATCTGGGGATCGCAGCACGGCTAAGGTAGTTTCTGTCAATCCGTAGCCTTGTTTAACTTCAGTAATATTTAATCGCTTAGCGACAGCCTTCTGAATTTCCTTCGACAACGGAGCTGCTCCACTCCTAATTAAGTAAATTACTTTAGTAATTGCGAAATAAACCTGATATCTGATAGATATAATTTTTTTTAGGTATCTACAAGTTTTAGCAACACAGCCCATTGCATGGAATATTAAAAGAAAACTGCTAAGGAAAGACAACTTGTTTCATGTTATTAAATTTTGTGTCTATGTAAATTCGTTAAATTTATAAAAATGTCATGATTTTAATCATCAAAGAGATGATTTTGCAAGATTCAAGCAAAAAAATATTTAAAATTGTTACTTCAATCTTTTATACAATTCATACAACTACTTGTAAAATAACGTAGGAATAGATTATATTATAATTTCACAAGTATTAAGTACCATTAATGTTCCTTTTCTTTTATCAATCTTTAGAATCTCTTCTCTAGGATCTCACTTTTTTAAATTTACGATTTAAAAAATCTACGCTCAACTTGCATTGACTTCTTCGTCCACTCTCTTCACCTTTGAGTTTGTAAACTGCAGTTTTCTTCCAACATTTCTACCAAATATTTCGTATCCGACTTGTAATAGCTTACCATACTGCTTTAACAGAAGATAAATCATATTTATCCACAAGTGGATGTTTAGCCAAGAATGTCATAAGCGACGGTACCACGGGCAAATATTGAATCTGATATTTTTCCACGTATTGTAGGAACATCTCTTCCTCAAACCGTGAGAACACAACAATGCAGTTCCCACGTAACATACTGAGTATCATCAAGACGAAGGAATACGCATGAAAGAATGGGAGCAGGGCCAAAGATATAGCGCTTTCGGGAATTGTATTGCTGCTCAAATGCGTGCGTATGACCGTGGTAATATTTTTGTCCGTCAACATGACGCCTTTCGCCAGTCCCGTAGTTCCACTTGAACATAAAATTGCTGTTACATGATTAGCTATATCGACAGGAGCCGCTTGGAGGGCATTTGCATCGTCATCGGAAACGTTTGATATCACTCTGTACATGCTCGTCCATGATACATTACTGCTACCATGTTCGGTAAGCATCAGCACTCTCGGCGACCAATGCAACTCTTTGAATACCTTTCTCACGGTATCAAGCGCTACCGGCGAAATAAAAATAAACTTTGGCTTCGAAATGGCGAGCGCATGTTTCAACTCTCTTTCGGAATACAATGGATTTAATGGGCAGACAATAGCGCCCAGGTAAAACGCGGCACACACTGGAATACAAAATTCCAGATTGTTTTCACTGCACACAGCTATAGTATCGTTTGTCCTCAGTCCTTCTCTTTGTAGATAAATTGCCAATTTTCGGCTAGTGTCTAAAATATGTTGGAACGTTTGCTCCTTGCCGGTGTGGGGGTTTATCTGTTGAAAAAAATGTATCATTGCTGTAGCAGAGAGTTATACACGTACAGTAAAAATTACGTAGCAAATCTGGGATTCTAATTATTCCCTACACCGTATATTAATCTAAATCTATCGCGTTATGCTGACTGTATATTAATTGTAAAGAACTAACGAGAGTCAATCGAACTTACCTGAGCCACGCGAGTACCGTGCGTCGCCAGTTGCATCAATAACAATTGTCCCATCGAGAAATCAAGTTCGGCAATCACTTCACCCTCACCGTGCAAAATATTTGATCGTTGCGGCATGTTGGATGGACACGAGAAGGTAACTGAGGAGGAAACCTATACTTTTTTTCACCGTTAGGACCTTAGAGTTCTCTTCTAACGGTACGTTAAAGAGAATGCGAATATCGTGCACTTCGAACGGGGTGTTTACGTAATGATAAGAGCAAAGCACGGTAAGTATTGATACATTCTGCCTCTTATCATTTTCTATCTCTTTCAATAGTGAGCTTTAATCGATAAACACGCGTCTCGCGCCCGGCGCCACTCCGAGACGAGATAATTGCAGGCGTTTTTTTTTTTTAAGCCGTTAGTTTTATCGCGACCGCCGTTAGATGACAGCACGCATGCTATTTTCGATCGGAATACGAATAATTGTGTCTGGATATTCGCCAGATGACACTAGTTGGATTCTAAAGGAGCGTTCGACCGAAATACGCCGAAAATAGGCCAAAAATATGCCTGTTCCTACTGGCTGTATTTCTTTTTTCTTTAATAAAAAAAATCGATTAAACATTGCTTGATTTAACCGCGACTGTTAATTTAATCGAATTGTTTCGAAAGACAGAATTGTTTAGAGGAAAATGTATATGTATATTTGTCGTTTTCAATTTTATTTTTTTTTTTCGACATGCCAAACGATAAAAAATAAATAAATATACTTACATTAATATTGTAAAATATAGTATGATTGATGTTTGATAAGTTGATCGACGATTATAATTCAACCGGCAGAATTGCCTAAAGCAACTTTTGTATGCGGCCGTATCTATTATATTGTCGTCTCCGATTTAATTTTTCTTTCTACGTGCTAAATAACAAAAAATAAATAATTCTATTCGCAATAACAAAACGGTATAGATGTCGCGACAAATTGATCGGCGATTAATTCAACTGGCAGAATAATTGTCTAAACTGTCCAAAGGAAATTTTTTATATTGGTCTCTAATCTAATAGATTAGACGACGATAATAATAATTATTTAATTTTTCTTTCCGATGTCATCAACAAACAAAAAAGCAAAAATTCTATTCGTAATAACAGAACAGTGTAAGTGTCGCTTAAGTAAGAATAAGCTATTTATAAGTTAATCGGATTTTGATCGAAACCTTATGCCTACCCTAAGGCTAATAATTTTTTGTAGCTTATATAAATAAAAAAAAAATGAAATATAAATGGACGTAGGTCGAGATACAATCTATTCTCCATTTTAAATCTCTCCTTCCAAACTGGAATTTACCTCGTGCGTAATATGGATAGAGAAATCCTTATGTATACATATAAGGAAAGAGTGCCATGTCGCTGCATTTTTCATATGACTAATTGACATATGACTAATTGATTTTTCTGCGCGTAGGTACGTACTACGCAATTTTATGCAAACCCATTTGAATAAGTCTCGAAGGATGAAAGAATATTTTCGAAGGACGGCAGTAATTTTCATCCTTGGTGTTTTTTATGTGTGTTTAAGTTCTTTTTAGACTTTAGTACGAGATCGCTTGAGTACTACATTGTATAAAAAAAAATCCTTCTAAAAAAAAGACCCTTTATTAATAGAATATAAAAAAGTAAAGAAAAATGGAAAAGGAATTGCAAAACGTTGAAGACATTGAAGATCTCGAATAAAATGAAGATCTTTAGCTTGAAATAAAGTTAAAAGGTATTTCTTATTTGCAAAAATATTTCTTATTTTTATACATTTAAACAATAGTTTTTTAATGTGGATTTGCAACATTCTCGGTGTCATTAATTTTTATCTTGATTAAATTACTGTTTGAAACGTTATTGCAATTAAAAGTAAAATTTACAAAATAAAGTATTTTAATACGTAAATGATTTCATCAAAATTATTTCTTTTTTTTCTTTTTTATCTATTAAAATATATTATACATAGGTATATATATACATATGCATAGAATATAATGTAAAACGTACATATATTCAAAAGTTTAATAAAATTTATAATATCTGTCAAATATTAATGCTAAACTTATAAAATAATAAGTTTTAGTAATTTTTCTCAATCATAATACATTTCTATCTTATTCGTTGGTTATCTTGAAAAAGTTTTATATAAGAAATAATTAAAGAGGTAATTAAAGATCCCTCCTACATTTTATAAGTACCTACATAAAATTCAGAAGTGATTAAAACGATACACTTGAGTATTTAAAAAAATTTCAATAATGTCGGTATTGCGATAACACGAATGTTCTTTTATTGTGTTACTACAGTTCATTCTCTTCAAACTTTACAATATCATCTTCAACAAATATTTACATATTCTCAGGATTTCAAAGAGAAGTACACCCTTTTTAGATGTCTCATTTCATTCTATAAAAAAGTTTAATATATAAGAATAATCACACAACGATATCGACTTTATTTCACTGACCATTGGTACAATGAAATTTGTTCTCCTTCTCTCTTTTTTCTGTAAAAGAAAAATAATGGAAGCACCCACGCAATTTTTCATTGTAAGCGATAGGTTTTTTCAAAACATTAAAAATTCCAAGAATTCTTTTTTAATTAATTAAACAATTTATGATTGTGCCGCGGTCAATAACACGATGGCTGACGTTAAAAAAAATTAACAATTAAAATAATCGATTGGTTAGTTTTAACATTAAAATTAAAATCATTTAACTTTATGCCCGACAAAGCATTTCGCGACTGATATTTACAGAGGAAAAAAAATAAATACATTTCAAATTTAAGGAGCAAATTCAACAATCAAAATATATCATCCGTCAAAATAAAAAGCTTCCGGTATTTTTTGCACTTGTCAAAATTAACTCCTCTCGTTATACTTTTGAAAAACGCAAAGAACATTTGAGAATATTTTTATTGCGGCACACAATACTTAAATTATTTAAATATGCTCCAGGGGACCAAATATATATCCCTTTCCTTTTTACATAAAAGAATTGCACATCTGTGATTTCTTTGGAAGTTAAACTATACCGATGATGTTTTTATGACGAATATGATGCACCAGTGCGCATTAGTGTCTTCACTGAAGGCTGTCATACACAAAGTGATAACAAAGTGACACAAAAATATACAAGAAGTGTTCAGCACAAGTTACATCACGTAGTTTGGCAGGATATCTGTCAAACGTTTCCTTGGTCAAAATTCCTTGATCAAAACGTTTAATAAATTTTTTTTTTGCAATTAGATAAGTTTGTGTACAACAGCCTTTGTAGTTTGCACCAGCATGCACTAACGCATCGGATTCGTTATCGGATGCACAAGAAAACGGAGGCGAATCTCACCGATATCACCCGCGTGAGAGAGATTCATCGGATTAACACCACTGAAAACGCAATGCCTGATTTCCACGCTTGCGCCGGCAGCCACATAGGAGACCACGGCGACGGAACCACCGCGCGTTCCGTCCGGGGAAAAAAAAAAGAAAGAAACGTGCGAGAGATCTTAGTAGCGACGTGGAGAATTCGGGGCTTTCTCTCGCCGAGGGAGTCCGGATTTATGCGCTTGGAAGCGATGCGTGACAGCCGACGCAGATATCGAAAAGTACCGTCGGTCGCTGAGCCCCCGACGTGAATTTCGGCGCGTGTGCCCGCGAACATTTTTCCGCCGTCGGTTTTTCCCCGCCCTTTTGTCGCCGTAAAGGTTTGGAGGCGGCGCCGGATGGCCGCCCGGAGTCGGGCGTTCGCACGGTATTGCGCGTGGCGGGGCCGTGGCGGCCGCCACAATGTCGGGCGCAGCCTCGCGCGAGCGTCGCGATAGGCAGACGCGTGCCGGCACGCTCGGGCATGGGCACCAACGGCGTGTCGGCCGACGCGGTGGGCACGTCCCCGGGACGGTAGCGGCGTGGACCGACGCGGCCCAATGAACGACGAGACGGAAGGGTCGCGCCGCCCGCACGACGGCGCTCGTCCAATGACCGTACGGCGGCATCTCCAGCATCCACTTCTCCTCGTCGCGGACCTCACCGCTCCTCTCCACGGCGTATGGAAACCCTTCTCTCACACGCAAAAGGGGACATCTCATCACGACTCTTGGTAGCAGGCACTTCTCCGTAGTGGGCACTCCACTCATCGTGTCGTCGTACGGGTTCTCCGCGAGAGGCTGTGGGGCCTGTGCCCGGGCGGGCGAGCAAGCGAGCGAGCGAACGAGCGCGAGCGCGAGCGGGCGAGCGCTGGTCGAGTGGGTCTAAGCGGCCGTGAGGACCTCTCCAGGAGTACCCGACAGAAGTCCTCTCCATTCATTCATCCATCCATCCAGCCAGCCAGCCAAGCCAGCCCAGCAAGCCAGCCAGCCAGCCAGGCAGGCAGGCAGCCACCCAGCCAGCCATCCATCCATCCATCCATCCATAGAGCGGCTCTTCTCCTACGGAGAGTGTATCCTCGACGAAGGTGGAGGCGAAGCGTAGAGTGGTACATCTACCATCGTCTCTCTATCGGCGGAATCCAAGGACTCGAAGACCCCCGTGTGATTTCAGTCGGCCGCCGGCCGGCTCTGGCCGGCCACTATCCTCGACCACGTGTGCAGGGTCGCCGTGTCACCGCGTCCGTATCCTTCCTCGTCCGTTTCGGATTTACGTGGAGCGAGACGCAACGACGACGCGAACGGCTTACGTACGTTCACGCCCGACGGTGTCGAGAGATCCGACGATTACGGGAGAGCCATCCGAGTCGGCCGCCGGCCGACCGCGGCCTCGATTTCTTTCCGGTTATGTGTGACAGTTCGCCGCGTGCGCCACGTGACCCTGCGTCCCTTCGCCCTTAATGTCAATCTTGCGGCGCGAAGATCCGGAAAGCAACGACACGCGGTGGACGACGAATATATGAGAGAGAAAATGGATAAAGTGTGTCCATCATCGACGTCAAGTAAAATACAGTGAGGACGAAGCTCGGGGGTTCGATAGTCGCCGAGATTAGAAAGTCGACAGTGTCCGCGGCATCTCGCGGGTGTGGAAATTTGTTCTCGCGATTGCAAGAGCTATGCGTGCGTTTAAACGTGATCGGGATCACGGAAAGAGAAAAGGGGACGAACACCGGCTCGCGGGGAATGACTGCGGGCTCTACATCGATTTCGGGGTCAAACGGCCCCGGTGTTGGTGAAAACGGAATTATTATTATTTTTTTTTTATTGTGCGCCCGTGATCCATCGTAGTAATAAGTGAGCGCGTCGACGTACGGGAGTGACTTGTGGCATTGTGAGATTAACTAACCCGTGTGTACTGATTTTCGGTCTCGAGTGAGCGATCGAGTTCAAGTGACGGTTCAAGTACTTTCGAAACTCCACGGCGAAGATTCGGGACATTCGGATTTCGTGACCCCCAAGGGGTACGACGGTGTCGTGTCGAGGAACACGTTGGCGGCGCGATCTCGGCGATCGGCGATCGGCGAGCGGCACGAGCTAGACGAGAAAGGGCAAGAGAGAGAGAAAGGGAGCAGAGGTAACGTCATAATGCGCCGTTGTTACGGCTAGCGCCGGCCTCATCATTCCGCGAAGCGCGAGCTTCAAGTACTTCGACGGCGTCGGGCTCGCCGAGATGAGCGGTGGCAGCGGCGGCGGCGGAAACGGCGGCGGCAATCAAGGCGGTAATGGCAACGCCACGACTTATCATCAGCAGCAACAACAGCAACAGCAACAGCAGCAGCAGCAGCAGCAACAACAACAACAACAGCAGCAGCAGCATCAGCAATCGCTGGAGCAGGCCGGCCTGCTGTCTGACCTCAATGGGATCGACCTGGCGATGAGCCTGTCGCCCAAGCAGCATTCGTCTCACGTGCAGACTGCTGGCGGTGCCCACACTACGCCCTTCAGCGTCACCGATATTCTGTCGCCGATCGAGGAGTCCTATCGGAAGCTCGAGCTCGCCGCCGCTGCCGCCGCCGTCGGTGTTGGTGTCGGCGTCGTTACGCATTCCCAGGGTTCACCTTACGGGAACGCATGCGGTGCACGGGTGGGTGGTAACACCGGTAGCTCGAGCGCGAGCAGCGGCAGCCCGCCGCTCCACGGCGGTTCGACGCCCGGCGGCAGCACCCCCGGACCGGTTTCCGTTGCCAACGGGGCCGCCCCCGGTGGCGGCGGCGGTAGTGCCGGCGGAGGCATGAGTGCCATGGGTAATCCTTACGCGACTATGCAGCTCACGTCGCAATATCAATATTGCGCCGCGGAATTGTCGCCGTACCATCACGCCGGGCCCGGCGTGGGCGCCACGGCCACAGCCACGGACCCCATGAGGTCCCACGCGGTTTCGTCGCACCATCATCCGTGGTACGCACCGGCGCCACCAGCCACCAATGATCCGCGATTTGCCAGTGAGTAGCTTGTCTTTTATTCAAAGAAAATCAAATGAGAAAGACCCGAATAATGCACGGTTCTGCCTAAAACGAACGAAACCTGAAAGAAACTTTAGCTAAATTGTGGTACGTCTAATCTCTCAATGCGGTAAATTATATTAATATTATACATATATATATACATATATATTAGCAGTTTTGTGAAAGAGATTGCAAGAGAAGATAGAAAAATATGTCATATTGTATTTGAACAAAAAAGCGTTAATACGAGATAATTAATGAGCAAATTTTCATGTTTTGTTAATTTGATATTAATTTTCTATAGAACTGCTATTATATCCTACAAAATATTTTCTAAAGGATTATTTCCTTCCCATTTTGCTTTATCATCGGTTTTATTCGCAAAGTTCTTGTTAAGTACCACCGTGCGGCCTTTACAGACGTGGGAAAGTGCAATTACGTCAGTCGTGGTAGATAAGCATAAAAATCATTTTCATCGAAATTTGAGAGAAACGACTTTACGCTCGCGCTAATGGAGGGAATATTTTGTCAGGTATATCCACATACATTTACATGCTCGTCAGACGAGCAAAAAGCCTCCGCGAACTTCGTCTACATATTGATTAATTCAGCGACTGTGGTTCGATGAATTACGTCTCGGACAGTTAGTCTGTCCGCTAAACGTTACCGAGTTATCGAATGCAAACAGTCATTCTGTCAGCCTGTTAAATGAGTTTCGAGGGGTCTGTATTTATCAGAAAGGCTTGGCGTAGTCTCATAGAATATATGACGCTTACACTTTCAAAGACGTGTTTCTCCCCGACGATGATGATCGTTAGCATGAAAATCCGACATCGGACGCACGATCTACACCTGTTATTTAATCACCGATAGAAAAATCAGCGAGTGAAATCTGTAGGGACGTCGATGAGGAATCACGCCGCGCGAGAGAGTTTAACGTTATCAGATATTCATCAAAATCCTTGTGTTTCGCGTTTTGTGTATAAATGCCGGAAGCGCGCGGCACCGAAGCGACTGCCGGGCGAGAGAAAGGGAAAGAGAGAATAACGCTGTATGTTTGTACGCTCGTTTGTACGTGTATGTTGTACTCGGATAAAAATCCTATCTCACAACGAGCTATTCCTTCCGCCTTCCAAGAGTCACGTCCGTCAGGCTTTTATCAGGCTTGTAACGACAAGACCATGGATATCTCAGCTCCATTTAGGGATCGACGAGGAGAGTGTCGGTCTCGCGTTACAAAGTTGACGAAAATGCGCCATCGTTAATTGGTAAGAAGAGAACCCGTGGGCATTTCTCAGTTTACAACCGTTTCCAAGTGTTCTACGGTAGAGAAGAATTTTATTTTTATCTCCAAAAGCGTGTACAGACTTTCTACAAATAAGCTAACATAAATTGTCAGGATAGGAGCTGAAAAGGATTGCAATGATACAGCTTTCGTACAAAATGGGGATACAAATCGGTTTCCTCGAAATCGTTGATCTTCCTCAAGTCTCGTTTAACTTTCTAGATAGGTATACTACAACAAAGAAGAGGGATTCTAAATCTATTTTTGTATTTTAAAACAAGACTTTTAAGTTTAATCGTCCGTGAAGTAAACACAAATGCGGGTAGAGTGGTCTGCGATTTGCAGTCAGCGATATTCTTCGAGTGGAACAGTTTAAAAGGATTGGCGTAAAAGCGTCTTCGGGAAGTGTAGGAGAGCTTTGACACTTCGGGTGGAAGATCCATTTGGATGTCCAGGGCGCCGCATAAGTTTCGCGTTTCAGTGTCCACAAAAGGAACGTCGCGCATACCACCGTCGACCAACAATGCGCGCATCTTTCATGCGACTTGTGTCAACAAGGCGCGCTCGTCTCTTCCTCTGTGTGGATTTTCGTCCATCGCACGCGCCACTTTAGCGAGCCGATCTCGCTCGTCGCTCGTATCGATCCAGAATTCGAGAAAGCGCGACTAGTGGACGGCGCTGAGGATTTTAGTTAAACAAATAAGAGGGACTGGTCCTCGAGTTAAAGGCCTCGAGACGAGGCGCGGATGCCCGTCCGCGCCATACGAATTCGATTTCGCGGGACTTATCTCGTCGCCCCTTGCAAAATAAACAGAGCGCAGGGAAAGCCCTGCAAAACGAGTCGTTCCCCGATGCGTTTCGCGTCTTCTGGAACTGGCGATTATGCGGCGACGTTATGTAGATTACGCGTTTTGCGCGAAACGGCAGGGTAAATCGCGAAAGAACTTTTGCCAAAAATCAGTAATGTATAATGTTGAATTGGATATATCCCTTCGTAGCATTTCTTTATAATTTTATGAAGAGACAGGCTGTAAATTTACATACACATACTGTTTGCTGGTGCTATCAAAAATGAATTTTCAGATCAAGGAGAATCTGTTCATTAATCTCTTGCTCTTCGATCTAGCATTTTAATATCACTGCGCCATTCGCAGTCTGACGTCTTTCGATGATATATTGCACCATCGATTGTGCTATCGTTCGTGATTTGCATTTTAATAATGGTCTATTAAAAACGTCTTCCCTCATCGCTATACGTGAGCGTTATTTGTACGAATTTCTTTTGTAACTTTTTACGATATTTGCATATATCGTGTATGCAGCACCGTGTTGTGGACTAACGACAACACGCGACTCCATTCCTTTATTATTAATCTTGTGTCTTGTGTAATTAAATATAATTAAAATCGTGATTAAAATGGATCAATTGATGGAAATAATATATTGTTGAGGAAAATGCATAATTATGCACATATTGATCTTAAATTATAAACCAGAAGTTGTATATTATTTTATGTCTAAATTATTTAAAAAATTCCTCGCACTTGAAAAATTTAAGTTTTTATTGCACTCTAAACTCGCAAGAATGATTATTTCTTTTGTATTGTTTTATTGTATCCTTTCTCTTTTTATACATATTTTTTTTATATTTAACTCATTCGCTTTAATTAACTCCCTATTATTTTCACGATGATAAACTGTCAATTTTGTTCTGAATACTTATTATTTTCGTTCTAATCTTTCCCTATTAAATATTTAAGATTAATTACGAATTTTAATCTCTATTGATTCTAATCAAGTTATTTTCTAACCACATATTTAACAGAAAAACATTGCGTTATTCAAGAATCAATTTTATTTATAATTTACCTCTGCATTACGTGGAACGAGACAGTGAATATAAGGATTCTGTAAGCAAACTTAATATAGTTATACACAGATCCTGTAACATATGATTTAACATTCTAAATGAGATCTAATATTCAAGTAAGATTAAAGTGACGCGCGAAATTACGTAATGAGCAAAATTACAGAATCGACGCGTGACATTAAATGTTACGCCTAAATCTACATGCCATCAGACAGAGATATTTTTATCCCGCTGGATTGGACGACTTTCACACTGTGGGCGGTACGCGAAGGCGTCTGTGATTCGGAGCGAGAAATCTTTGGGCTTTTGTCACCTAATTGGAAGGTGAAGAGCCGAGGCGGAGGAGGGTTTCCCTCCCCCCTCTCTCCCCGTCGGTCGCTATGCCACATAATTACGTTTCGAAATACGGGAGGATGTTCGACGTGAGGCAGAGTGCAACGCCGGTGGTCAGGTAGACGTTGAAGAAAACGTCAATTTACTTAACGAGTTCCTGCACGCGCGTTGTTCGCCCATCATCGGGATCTGCCTTCGTGTATTGGCAGAAGTTACATCGAAACATCCCGTCCCGTCAGTCCTACCCGTACGCATTGTTCTCGATGACTGCTGACGAGCGACTTAAAAAAGGGATAGCGTCGTATATACGAGAAACATAATAATTTACATCACTGATGTGATTTACGAGAAATTCCTCGCGGCACCAATTAATATTAACGCGAGATAATTCGCGTATCAATACCTGACAGAGGCTTTTTTCGGAGTTGCGCAATGTAAATTAATTACGGAAAGAGCTCTATGAATTTATATAGAAAGAGTTGTTAAGTTGATTTCAAGAGATCGTTACAGTTTTGAAAATTTGTGGATGGAACATATATACATATCGCAATAGGCAAGCGCGAGTTAGGTTTGATCAGTTCGAACGCAGGTGATCTCGTGATCACAGTGCAACAATCCAGATGGGAGGTGAGACGGAGCCGCGAATTCGTCCGGTGCTCGAATCGGCTATCGAAATATAGGCTATCGAGTATATACAAGCGCTCCGGATATCCGCGTAATGAGAGGAGCCCCCGGACGAAAATATGCGCCGCCTTCTTCCGCCGGCGGCGAAAATATAACGACAATCGACTCTCTCTCGCTCGGTGCTCGGTGCGCGCTCCGGATTTGAGCTGCGGGGCTCCACCGATTTCTCCCGTATACGCGGGCGCGCCGGGGTAAACAAATTTGACGGTGTTTGTTCCTGCGCTCAAGTGGTATTTCTTTCTCGCCCTCGACTTCACTGACGGCTCGAGAATACGGTTCTCAGAGGCATAATAATTTCGGGACTTCATCTCGGGACCTCCCGTGCTCTCGCGGTGACGTAGCACTTCGCAGCGCCTAAATCGTTCCCTTTGTCCGCGCCCAAGCGCGTTCATTTTTGACAGCCTCCAACTGACAAGGGATAGACGACCGCTCGCTCGCTCGCTCGTTCGTCTGGGTAGCCCTCGGTAGCTCAAATTTAGAGGGAATCGTTCAACCATACACGCCTTAGACGTATACTTATGAAAATATGAATATGTCATAATTATTATAATCTCTGTCACTACATCGAAGCCGTTGGTAACAATTTTTTTTACTTAATTCTCAATCATTTAAATCTCGTCGCTATGTCTAACACGAAAGGGTACCACAAATACTTCGTATACATTATATACATAGATATATATAGACCGTGAATATATTAAATCTAAAACTATTCGCAACGGATAATGTAAAAATAAGGTCGAAACGATATCAGTATCAGAATGTAGAAACAAGGAAAACTTGCGAAACCGATACATCTCTTGTCGCTAAGCTATATATAGGCCGTAAGTTTTCATAAAAAAGTTGCATGCGGAAAGAGAATGCTCGCAAAGTATCATTCCCGGTTTCTTAAATATGTTTTGCAGTCTCGCGGCTGATGGGCGCCGCGGCGGCCGGCGGGACCAACATGGCCGGTTGCTCGGTGGGCCAGTCGATGGGCGACATGACCAAGTCGTCGGGAATGGGGGTGGGCGTCGGCGTCGGAGTCGGCGTCGGCATGGGCGTCGGCGCGATGCAATTTCCCCTCGCGCAGAGACGGAAGAGACGCGTGCTCTTCACCCAGGCCCAGGTCTACGAGCTCGAAAGGCGATTCAAGCAGCAAAAGTACCTCAGCGCGCCCGAGCGGGAGCATCTGGCGTCCTTAATTCATCTAACGCCCACGCAGGTATGTTGATTACTTGTTACTCGTATTCCGGGCGTCCCGCGGAATCGTCGGATGTCCCTTTAACCGCGGATCTCAACCTCCGTTATGCAAAAAGTATAAACGGACTGCCAAGCATCAATCGGTTCGTTTATCCGATATTCGGCGCGCCGAATTAATCGCCAGGGCAAACTCGTCCGGTAAGATGCTTCGCGCAAGTGTTTTTATTATGAATCTTGACGAAGATATCCACGGTTTGTCGCTTTAACGAGCGGATAAGATAGTTGGTTCCGGCATACGCCGCGATTTTAACGAGCGTATTCATTTTCATTGGACGCAGACAGGTCTGGCCGGCTCGAGATGCGGCACAGCGGTCTGGCAACAATAAATAATTGTTACGTGGCTCATTGGCCGCATCCTGCGTTCACGCACGTAGCACGCAGGGTCTCCCCCTCGTTCGGTCTATCGTTCCGTCTACCGTTCGTCTCTCCGTCTGGTTCAATTCACTTATCAGCCCTTTGAAAACAAGCGCGTCGAAATTGTACCGTTTGTCATCGCGCGACGTTTGTAACGCGACGCTCCACGGGGACGTTAAGTTATCGACGTATAACTTAACTTACGCTAAGCGCCATAAATATCTTAAATATCTTTTACGGTCCTACGTCGAATTGGACTTGACATGATACATATTGCAATAGTTTATCGCATAATTCTTCAAGTATATGAACCCATACGCGATTATAATTAACAAATTACATTTTTGGGATCTCCATAAATTCCTCTATAAATAAATTATTTAATAAAAATTACTTTATTCGTGTTAGACCAACTTGGAAATAAAATGAAATAATTAAAGGCAATTGAGAACAAAATATTTGATCTTCGCTCATTTGCGAGAAATAGTTTGGCCTGCAAAGAGCAAACGTTCACATGCTTTTTTCATCATAAGCATTCTCGAAAAGAACGCGTCATGTTCGGACATTCGTATATAACAGTTTACGGCAAAGAAATAGGCGAAATGAAAATGCCTATATAGTTAACGGTAGCCAGGTCTGAAACAGAAGCTTTACATGACGAGCGAGAGATTTCTCAAAGTGGAAACGTATAGCGCTTCCTTAAACCGGAAGAGTCGAGCGCCTGTGCGAAGCCCTTCGAGCGATGGTGACGAGTCGATTCCGTGTCAAGCACGGAAGTCGGCAAAGAGGCCTGATTGCAATCAGCCGGGATTTTCATGCGCGCCCAGGGCGAACGGGCACAATCGGTGGATAAGTTTCGACGAGTTTCATAGTAGATTGTAGCGATTGCGGGATCAGGGGAGGGAAGGAAATTGCGAACGATTTACGTTTCTCCCTGCATATGTTCATATCTCTATCTTTCGTCGTACGTCACGTAACGTACGTTTTGTAAAATACAAATTACGTGGTTTCGCATACATTTTGGAGATCGCACGGATAACTTATAAATGTTTTTGTAAAATGTAAATGCAATGCTCCGCACATTTAGCTGCTATATTCTTCGTGCCTTACTGTCCGCCAACGTTGCTCGACAATCGCGCCTCAAATCGCCCGTATTCATCGCGCGGTGTTAGCGCACTCGCCAAATCGCGGAATCACGGACGAATCAGCTGCTCGTCTCATCTCGAAAGGAAATCTCTTATCGCGGATGCAACCAGCAAAAAAATGGCGACGGCATCGGAGCGCGTGACGACGAATTGCATTTATCTCGCCGTCGTCTCTCTCTCTCTCCCTCTCTCTCTCTCTCTCTCTCTCTCTCTCGTCCTGTTCCCTCCGGAGAGCGTCCTCCTTCCCCCTTGTCCCCTTAGGCACGGGGCACACGCAGATGGGTCCCTCCATTTTGCGCTCGCATTGTTACTCCAAGTACCCGGTCTCCCCCCTCCCCTCCTTCGCGCGGTGCGGTGTTACAATGCCTAGCCACTCCTGGGCATTGTTACCAGTATTGTTATTATTATCGCTACTGTTGCCGGTTGCGGCCGAGTGGCGAATGGAAAAGCAGAGGGCCGGTGGAGCCAGCTGCTACGTCGAGTGTCGCATTAGAGGCAAATTACACTCTCCCCCCCTCCCCGCCCTCCCCCTTGATCCGCCTATCGTAGCTTTTATCCCACCTCTTCATTTTCCCTCCGCTTTTCCGAAAAGTTTTGATCTATTGGGCCGCGTCCGCGAAAACCTGTCGGTGATATCAAATCTTTGTTATCCGAAACAATCGTTGTTACAATTGCGTTTTCGTTGCTACACGATACATCAATAGCATGCATCGTGAACTATTTACAAAAATAGTGGAAGTAACTAGAAGTATTACCAAAATATGTAGGTACGATTGCCGGAAGTGTCTTCGACTACGAAGGCAACGTAGGTACGAATAGCGCAAGGAATGTTGAATCGTAGAATAATGTCGGATAAGAGAATGAGAGATCGGATCGGCGAGAGAGAGGAGGGAGAGAGAGAGAGAATAAGAGAGAAGGCAAGAAGATCGCGGTTGCGCGCGCGATTCAGCTACACGAATAATAATCATAATAATGGGTTTGCGTACCACCGAGTCCTCGTTCCCTCCCCCCGGTCTCATCCCCTTGCACTGCGGTCGGCAACCCCATGGCGTGCGCGTCGGAAGAGGGATCGAATCCCGTAGAGCAGAGGGCGAGCTCAATGCCGTGCAAACATCACGTCGCTACCGCCGTTTTCGAGATCTATCGGCACAGACGAGAGACGAAACGATCGACAACGCAACGGCACGACTGTGCCACCAGCGTGGTTCTTTGACACGATAACGGGGGAAACGGCGCCATTAACTTACGGATGTTCGCCCTTAACATTGGCATTAACCCCCTTAAATCCTGTTCGGAATATACTCGATATATCTTAATTTCTAATTTTCTAAAGTACATCGAAATCCTATCGTGTATATCTCATCCACAGATTCTTTAGCTTTCGAGTCGACTTTTCCTTGAGGATTTATTTTGAGGCTTAATTTATATAAGTTCGCTAATATTGAAACACTATAAGTATATCTATCTCTCCCTCTCTTCTTTTTCTCTTTTATTGACGAAATATTCTCGTAAAATAGATATAAAGATTTATACGAAAAATTCCACCATTATAAGAAATTTCTTCGATTTCTATAACTGACGGAAAATAAATTTTTAAGCACATCAATTATACTTTATGAGTAATTGAGAATTCAAGAATTTGACGTGTCTTGAACTACACAGATTGGCGATTTCTTGGTTGTCAAATGCAATGCGGTTAATCGAACGTCCTGCAACGCGTGCTCGCGTCTCTCAAGTGCACTCCCAGCACCCTCGCATAACGCACACATGAATATGTCGCTGGCTTTTGCAGTCCGCGTTGCGCCGCGATATCTACAGACGGACAGAATGCCGTCATAATTACACTTCTTTCTGCACTTCTATGTCGTTTATGCAGAAGATATCAGCCTAGGGATGCATGCAAGTTGCCCCGACGTCGCATCTACAGATTAACACAAAAGTTATTGAGCCCTGTTTTCGACAATTTATTACATTTTCATTCTTCTTCTTTTATCTTTTACACTTACATCTTTTTATATTTACATTTAAACTGTTTGTTTTTCCCAAAAGAAATGATAACATAGATAACATAACGCTAAATTCTGTTTTATTCAAATATTATTTTACTTAAAATTTTGTCTTAAAATGAGTCCAAGTTTCTCTTTTCACAAAATCGGTATTATGTTTAACGTTAAAATATTTATTGGTAGATATTAATATGTTTACGAAGCAAGATTGTCAGTTTGTTAAGTCGAACGGAAACGGTTTTTTGTGCTTCGTCCTGTAGCGCAAGCTACCAGTTCTTTTGTAATGCATTCGCGGCACTCGCGCGCCGAGGGTGCATATATTCGGACTGCAAATATCGACATCCCTTAACAGGGATGCTCTCCGGTTTATCGCATCAATCCCCTCATCTGCCGATTCTGAAAAGATGCTAAAATTAAAAGCCCAAGCTAAGGAAAAAGCACGTTCTACGTGTCGATAGAGATCGATTTTAACGTTTCTTCGCTTCGTTCTTTTCCGAGTAATTACAGTGACATAAAATATTTTTTTACGTATGAAATCTTTGGACAATTTAAAGTTAAATATTTCTTGATGATCGAAAGATTTTTTAAGGATTAAACTTTTTTCAGGGATGTCAAGGCTTAAATATCTTACAATTTTATGTTCCTATTTAGATCTATGCAAACTAGGATAAAGTTGATCACTTTTCAATTTATTCGCGAATAAAAAATAGAATAGGATAAGATAAAGCAGAATAAAATCACGTATATCGTCGCGCCTTTCCGGCCGCACGCAATTACTCCACGCATCGCTTCGCGGTAACCAGAAAGTCATTTCTATTTGGGGGCTGGAAGACCCCTGGTTTTCAGACATCACGCTAGGTAATCGGTAAGTCATCTCCGGCCGACGGTATTGAGTTAAAACAACAAAAGGGAGGCGGAATCGTGTTTGTCCTCGGGCTACCCACTCAGCAGGATCAACACGGGACAATTAACAGCCCTAATCATAATTTGACGTTAGTTGATCCCCGGTATTCGCGCAGGTTCATCGTCGTGCGGCGTGCAGAGCTCTTTGCACGCAGACATTCGCACGCGTTTAATCCTCCATCGAAGCGAACCCACGAGTCCCTGTTATCGACGGACATAACGCTCTCATTAAACAGATATTACTAGCTGAATAACGCGATGGTTATATCCGAATCGATTTAATCCGAAGAAAATTCAATTCATTTGTGCGATATTTATTCACAATATATGCGAGCGAGCGCCTTTACATTCCAATAAAGTATCATTTTTATTCATGAATGAGAAACCTTATTCTTTTTTTCTTCTTTCGTTACTCATTCCACCGAGACTTCGTTCGAATTTGCGGCGTCGCGCGGTATAATATCGATATCGCTGTTTTATCGCGAATGCACAAGGTCCGCCTAAAGAAAAATGTATACGTACGGCGGGTGCCGGGAGCGTATACGGCTCGTTTG